TTGGGCCGGCAGATGGGACCTTCCAGCCCTCGCAGGAGGATCTCTAGCTGAGATCCAAGGATCTCACTAGCCCCTTCTGGTCATGGGTATCCACCATGAGCCTCAGTCCTTTTCAGAGACAGTGCTTCCTAAAATAGAGCCCCTGTCTTGTTAGTATAGCATCCTCACTTTGTTCATAGATGTATGACTTTGCATTTAGCCAGATTAAAATATCAATCACTTGCACCAAGTTTACCTAGTGATCCAAATCAGTTGCCTACCCTCTTCCTTATTTACAATCTCCAAATCTCTTGTCTCATCTGCAAACTTTATCAGTGATGTTTTCTTCCAGGTCACTGATAAAAAAAAAAAACGTTCAATAGCATCAGTCAAAGAATTCAAATGGGTCTTCACTAGAAACACAGCTGCTTACTGTTGATTCCCCATTTACAGTTACATTTTAATGTCTGTCAGTTAGCCATTTTTAATCCCTTTTATAAGTGCTGTATGGATTGTGTATCATTCTGGTTTCTTATTCAAAATGTTATGTGTGGTACTGAGATAAATGTGGCTTTGGGCTGCATCAACAGGAGTATTAGGTATAAGACACTGAAGGTGATAGTGTTACTGGGCACTCTTTACGCATGCTCTGGGGATGGGGAGAGTGGCACTTTAATTAGAGTGGTCCGAGAGCTGCTCTAATTAAACCACCACACCGTCTTGTGTATTAAGATGCCCATGCTTCAAAATGGCGATGGGGGTGCTCATTCGACAAGTTAGTTCAAGTGCCCCTGCTGCCATTTTGAAATGCAGGGACACTGATACATGAGACAGCTGGAATGTGATAAATACCATGCAACAGAGCAGCCTCCACGCTTGAGTACAGGCACCTACCGTGTTCAGCACTGGTTAGACCTCAGCTAGAGTATTTTGTGCAGTTCCTGGCTCATTTTAAGAAAGATCTGGAAAAAATGAGGGGATCCAGAGGCAGGCAGCACAACTAATAAAGGAGTTAGGAAGCAAGCCATACAAGGAAAGGTTGAGAAAGCTTAGTTATGTTTAGCTTGGGGAGATGAGATCAGTGGGGGACAATAGGAATTTCCAAATATTTGAAAGTCTATCCTAAAGAACAGGGGAAGACCACGGCAGTGGTTTTATACTGCAGCAAAGCAGGGTTAGATTAATCAGGAAAGATGTACTTACTGTTAGAACAGTAACGCAGTAGAATAGACTGCCCAGGGAACAGAGGCATAACTGGGCAATTCTGCATTTTGGGCCATTGCTGGTCTGCTGGCAATGGTTAGGAGACCGGCACAAGAAGATGCTTTTTTTGCAGCAGCCCCCCAACTTGACACCTGCAGCTGGTA